TACTAATATCCACTAAAAATGATTTAAATTCAGTTCAGTTCAGGAAAAATATGTTTAAGTTTAACGTTATCAGCTTTTTCGTTGCATAATTCACAAACTCATATATTTATGGTATGTGTAAGTGGCGTTTTCTACAAATTTTCTATTATTTATTATACTTTTCTATTATATATTATATATATATGTGATTTCACAAACAAATTTGTCTCTTGCGCCAAGCAATGTTTCGGAAYTSGCTCTGGTTCACACTAAGCCTGCGAAAATAATTAAGATCTCAATGTCAYCTCACCTCTTCTTTGTTCAATCTGACTTACAAAATACTTAAAATTTTTATAATGCATTCTCTCAACCAATAAYTGAAGAATACTACTTTCAGCTCGGCTAAGACAATAATATCATACACTTMCACCGAATTTTTACTTGTATGGCTACTGAATGCAACAAATGTCTTATCTCTCACTAATATACTCTACACCAACTACACTGCGAATACTTTCCATTTGCTTGCACTTAATRTTTTTGATGCTTTCTTCATGGCATCTTGCTCTGCTGCAACACTTAAGCAAACATTTACTTAGCACACAACAATTCAAAACAACAAAATGAGAGAGACAAGTGGAAGACAAGTTTTTACTATCACTTTTCCTGCCAAGGGTGCATTTAATTTATCGTCTATAAAAGTAAGTGTAGATATCAGTATGACAGAGTGACTTAAGGATGTGCGAATTCCGCGAAGATGCAAGCTGTCAACTGGTACTAAAGTTTTRACTACTCAAGTAATGAATAAAAACAACTGCTGCTAGTTTAAGCACTCTAAAGGGGTGTTAAGTAAAGAATCATACTAATTAAATAATTAATGAGTATTTGATTAGCATTCAGTTTTTCATAGCTTCAGTTCTACAATTGATAAACAATTACCACTGCATATTTTTAATTCGTCCAAAAATTTTGTAAATTCATACATAATATTTTTTATTTATTTATTTAGTTAAGTCTATGAACTTTAATTCTTACAGACTAGTGGAAAATTAGGATGCTAAATAGATTTCTAAAATAATTCAATTGAAAGTACATAAGTAATTAACTTAAACTAAAAAACAGAATTTAGGGTATTAATGAAGGATACCGTAGAGTGAGAAAAATCAATAAGAAATTTTTCGGAAATCGAGTTAAACTCTCGCATAGCACGCTTGAGAGGAGCATATTCAGCGAAGTTAATACTTTCCTTTATATAATAAAATGGGGAAATAGATCTGAGACAACGTTGGAGAGCATTGAAGTTAATTTTCCCTAATAAATAGAGACAGTCAATACCTCCATTAATAACATTAAAAACAAATGAAA